CCAGTGAAGAGGTCCCCTGTATAAACTACGATTTATTGAAATTGTAATTTTTTCTGTAGCAAGAATGAGTACAAATAAAGATTGATTGATTTGATACGTTGCGTGACAGCGCTCGCAAGTTTAATAGAACTGAAATATTTACATTAGCCTTCAAATTTCGTCCTAAATATTTTCACATTAATCGATAATGTTGAAGCGTAAAAGCTGATTTGTAAAACCGTATTATTCTACGTACATTATTTTAAGCTGGAAGCACAAATATAAGCAAACATTTGCGATCGCGTGCTCGTTTATCGTTAACGAATTCCGTGCGACTGATTCGAATATTTTCCCTGATGAATAATAGTAGACAGTATTTACATTGCCATTCCTTGGTTCAGGAACTTTCCAACGATTCTAAACAATATTCAACCGGATAAAGACTGAGGTAATGTCGAGACTGGAACCAATCATTACACTACAGACGGATCATCCGTCTGGGATGAACTTGGGCAACGCACGATAGTTCTTCCGATAATTCGTCTGTGTATAAATACGGGCAGACAGACGGATCATCCGTCCAGACAAGTTATCGTGATAGTTCGTTTTGACCCACGAACTTTCGTGGACAATCCATCTAGACGGATGATCCGTGCGTATACGGGCGAAAGACGAACTCCCACGAAACTTATATCCCGTTACATGGAGCCAGCGGTTATTACGCGGATGCGAAGCAATCCGCGTTAGCAATTGGGTCGGGTCTTTTTTGTTTTTGTTCTTTTTTTCTTGAAGGTAGTCGCAAATTGTAACGCAAGTTGTTATTGGCTACAGGTAATTACATTGTAGCCAATGGTAGCTTCTGTAGTTTTTTTTAATCCTGGTTCAAGGTTGGTTTTGTCGCAACATGAAATGCTTCGTGTGGTAAGCCTTGAGACTGCTTCACGAGATACACAAACCTTCAACTTGTCGCGAAATATGTGCAAATTTTATGTTTGACAAGTTGTGAGTTTGAGGAACGAGCAGCAAAGCAAAAATTTGTTTTTCAAAGTAGACCCGCTCTCTACTATTCGCAACATCAAGTTGATCACACAAGGTGAAAAACTCGAAACATCAGCCAAGTTGAGGGTTTTTGTATCGAATATATATACGAGATACGGGTTTTTATTTCTCGTATTTCGCCGCCTTTAGAGCACAGCGCAACATATTCATTTTTTATTTGTAGAACACGTTAGGTGGACTGCATGTGTTCAAAGAAAATTTGAAGGTGTATATTTAATAAAGGACCATCGAAATAACCTCTTGTTTAGTTATTATAAACTTGGATTTCGTTGTTTTGAGCTTAATTTATTTCCGCATTGCTTCGATTTGAAAGATTTAAACCTGAACAAGCGTTTCGAACGCTTGAGGAAGGACTTTCTGTTTACCCTGCAACTTTCTTGATCTGACTAAATGTCCCAAATGTATGTTGTTTACGCTTCCAAATCAGACAGAAGCGTCTTAATGGCATTCCTTTTTGAGAACGAGCAAAGCCACTCATAGCAAAGCGAATGAGAACTGTACGGCTCGTAGAAAAACATGGGGTAACATTCGCAATAAACTGCTCAGAATAATAGAAAACAATATCAGTATTGATTCGAGAGCATTCATGCGATTCAGACGACACGTATGCAAACCTATTTTGAAATTCCCTTGACACTGCATCTCGCCCCGATCCAGAAGGCAGCGTTTTCAATCGCTTCAGATAACGACCATACGTAGTTCTTATGTTGCGGAATTTGACCTCCGTCTCAGCCGCCGATAAATTAAATTTCTCCCCGATTTTTTCC